AACAGACCAGTTAAGAAGAAATTCGCATCTAGGAAAATATTAATAGGGAGGGATGCTCAGAGCAATTAACTAACATCTTCTCTTTTCCTTCTTATCAAGTATCTTCCAAGGTTTCCCCGTATTTACTGCCAATCATATCCAACGCCAGCAATTCCCCGCTCTCTAACCCTGATAATGAAAATGCCTCCAAACCGGCAACTCACTGCTCATTGCCAACTACATCGCTATGGCAAAACTCGTCTGGGACTTGGAGGGGCGGCAAAGGACCAAACCGGTCAAGTCAATATCTTACACAGGGTAACTTCGTCCCATTGCCATATTCTCCATTTGAGCTGACACAGCGACGTTCAGCTGCTGGACTTGCCGAAAACGCCGGATTAAATGCGATGAAAGGCCCATCGCCTGCAAGGCATGTGAGCAGGCAAAGTTGAACTGCGCGGGGTACGACGTACGACTGGTTTGGAACGCGGGCCCTAACACCAGCAGGCGGCGCATTCGGTCAGGTCCGTGTGGGAATGCATCCTCATGCGCATGAGAAGCAAATACTGACGACAAATCCTAGACAGAGGTTCCTGCGCCCCGATGACGGATAGTGAGGTGACCCGAGCTCTGACGACAGTCGAAAAAACGGCGACGGATCCTGCCGCAACGACAACTGTTGGGCCTTTTTCGGTTTTTCAGACGCAGTCTGCATCTGCCAGACATAGCGATAGTCCTTCCAGGTCGAAGCACCGTGATACTACCATGAGTGGCTCGCAAGAGACTAACCAGCGCACTATCAACAGTCCCATTCTCCTTATAGTGGATTCGCCATATCAAAGCCCGTCCGATGCATTGCCTCAATTGCCAGAGTCAGCTGTAGACACGATGGTACCACCTAGAGACGTATGCATGAACGGAAATCAGGCAGAGACACCCACTGGAGCTCTGACCACGGACTCCCCGGATGGTCCTCCTGTTGTGAATACAGGGACTGGCACTACTACGAGTTTAGCTCCCCAACCTTCTTATTTCTGCTCCACCAGCAATGGAATTGCGACAACGTTACGAAGCGTTGATGTCACGGTCTCACAAAGCCCAGACTGGATAGAGCGAAGTGATGCTTCACCCCGGGAAAGCGCGCTTGGGGACCTGGGGTTTATACTCTTTGAACATGATCTGGCGTCAACTATTACTGAGGATACGACAGCAGCGATGCTGATGCATCACTATATGCAACATGTGGTACATCTGATGCAACCGGTGTCTCACCCAAGGAATCCCTGGAAGACCGTATACCTCCCCCTTGCGCTCCACGGCTCATCCCAACTGGACCTCCCGAAATCTTGGAATCAGCTTCACTCAGCAAGTGTTGCAGTATTCCACGGTGTTTTATCTATTGCCGCTGTCAACTTGCAGAGCATGGAAGCTGATCAAGAAGCCCTCGAACGACTAGCCTGCCATCATAAGCAGCGCGCCCTCGTTGCACTCCAGAGTACGCTTGCAACAAAGTCGACTCCTTACAAAGATATCATGGCAGCAATACTGTCTCTTGTATCCGCAGATGTGAGTTGATCCCGGATTATTATGTCACAGTCTGAACTAATGTCCGTCAAGATAATGGACGGCGGCATGTCCGACCATTGGATCCATTTAGAGGCCGGGATCAAACTACAGGCCTCAAGACACTACGCCATGTTAGTTAGTCACGAAACCTGTCTCCTGAATAATATCTGCAAGATGCTGCACCTATTCGGCCAGACGACGCTCCCGCATCGGACGCCCAAACCATGGCCCGGCTATGACTATGTCCCACGGGGTGCGGATTTCCACTCCCTAGAGCCTAGCATCGAGTTTCTCTACGGGATTACGATATCGATCGCTGGGGCAATCTTTAGGATCTATCGCCTCTCGCAGTATGTCGCCTGCTACAGATCCCAGGGACAGGAGTACCCGCAAACTCTCCTAGAGGCCTGCGAGACACTTGCAGACGACCTGGGATCGTACACCATAAACTCCGAACTATTCTCGACCATAGACTCTTCAGAGGCAGAGGCACATATGGTGGATATCGCGCGAGCCCAGGCAAAAGCCTTCCACAACGCCGCTCTGATCTACTACTACCGCTCCATCCAACAATGTGCTAGGAGCTGCCTTCACCAAGAACAGCAAGCGGTCCTTACCGCCATGAATGAAGCGGAAGACTTGAAGGTCTCTTTCGGCAAACACACCTCGTTTCCGGCGCCGATCACGTGGCCGGCGTTCGTGGCGTCGTGCGAGGCCGTTGGGGAAGAGCGCCGCAGTTGGGACAATTGGTGGAGTCGGCTGGAAGTGTACGGTATGAGAAACTATCATCGACAGTATGGAACTGTCCGTAGTATTTGGGCTAAGCTAGGTGAAGATGAGACAAGGGACTGGAGAGAGGTTCTGGACACTGTGGGCTTAAGAATTCTTCCTGTTTGAACGTACCATCACAGATAGATGTGCGATTATCGTGACAAGAACCAAAAGGGGGGAAATGCTTGGCAGGACTCCAAATCTGGAAGGTACCAACGAGCCCAAAACGGAAATAGCGGGGTGAAGGACCTCCCCTCCAGAGAGCTGCTGTTGCTATCTTTGCTATCTCTAGAAATATACACAGATCACGAACATTCTGAGTGAGCTAAGTAGCCCTGGAGATAATAACGGAAGTAAAATATTACTGGGAGAGTGATTTTAGAATAATTAATTGCGTAATATCAACTCTGCTCTGCTATCTGCTATCTAACGTTACAGCTTCGATGCGATCGCCCCAACCGTCAACGTTCCCGTTTTGGCGATCAGATATTCCTCGATCGCGACATCCTTGCCGGCTTCCTTACCGTAACCAGACGCTTTGATACCACCAAAGGGAGACTCTGCTGCCGACGAATTACCTTGAGCTCCGTCAGTATCAAGTTGCGAAAATCAGAATTCTGATGCATGACGTACCAGTGTTCATACCGATCATGCCTGCCTCCAGACTCTCCAACAATCGCCAAGTCCGACTGACATCCTTGGTAAAAAAGTACGAGGCCAGTCCCATGTTCGTGTCATTTGCCATGCGGACAGCCTCCTCCTCGGTATCAAATTGATACAGTCCAAGCAGTGGGCCGAATACCTCCTCCTGCGTAGTCAACATGCCCGACGACATACCAGAGATGATTGTCGGCTGGAAGAAGTTCCCCTGCAGGTGTTCTAGTGGATGCCCCCCCAGCACGACCTTCCCACCCTTCGCAACAGCATCCGCAATGTGGCGCTCCAGCTTCGCAAGTCCAGACTTAGTCGTTAGCGCGCCCATCGTAGTCTCAGGATTTGCGCCATGTCCCACACGAAGCCGTTTCGTTGCATCAACGAGCATGCTCAAGAACCGGTCGTACACACCCCTCTGCACGTATACCCGATTTGCATGCGTGCACGCCTGCCCAGCAGTCCGCCACTTCAACACCATCACCGCCGCCAACGCTTGGTCCAAATCGCCGTCGTCAAAGACAATAAATGGACAATTTCCCCCGAGCTCCAGCGTAACCTTCTTCAACCCCTCACTGCAATGCCGCGCAACAAGCTGTCCAACCGTCGTACTTCCCGTAAACGTCACCTTGCGGACAAGTTGATGTTTGCAAAGCGCCTCACTCACACCAGGGGTATGGACACTATCCGTCGACAAGACATTCATCACACCCGGTGGGAATCCCGCCTGCAGCGCCAAATCCGCTAAGGCTAATACGCTCAGCGGCGTCTCAGGCGACGGCTTAATGACAATGGTACAGCCCGCAGCCAACGCCGCCGCAGCCTTCCGAATGATCATTGCAACAGGGAAGTTCCATGGCACAAGCGCCACGCAGACACCGATCGGCTGCTTGATCACGAAATTCCGTCTGTCTGAGATAGAAGGCTGCGCAACTGATCCGCGGATGCGCTCTGCTTCGCCGGCGAACCACCATGCGAAGCCTAGCGCGTACTCGACTTCGCCGAGAGCCTCGGCCATCGGCTTGCCGGTCTCGTACACAACAAGCGTTGCAATGTCTTTCTTGGATCGGGTGATCAGGTCGTGCCAGTTCAGCAGCATCTTTGCGCGTTCGCGCGGGTTTGTGGCTCGGTAGGTAAGGAATGAGCGCTGTGCAGATTTGATGTAGGCGTCTACGTCGGCGACGGTGTTGGTTGGGCAGGAGGCAAAAATCTTGCCTGTGCCAGGGTCTATATAGTAACTGTTGGTTAGAAGGGGCTGTTTTCCTATGATAGGATAAAGATGGCTCGATTTGGTTTATACCTTCGACGTCGAACATTTGACCGGATTTAGATTGCACCCAGTTGCCATCTAGCAGGGAGGCCTCATGGAGTAGGGACGGTGTGTCCAGCTACATTGCAGAAGGAGGAGTTTAGCAAGATAATGGAGTTAAATGAGAGATACTGACCGTGAAAGGTAGGGCTCTAGACATATTGGGCGTCGAAGGTGGTATGAAAGCCTTTGGGAAACAAGTACAATTTGAGATGATTGAGTAATATTGGCAAAGAGAAGTATGCTATCGAGTCAATAACTTAACTGTATGTCCACCGGGTCGGACTCTTTAAAAGCGCCTTCTCAAGCTTCATGTCGCATTACAATAACCCTTTCGGGGTCTACCTAAATAATAAATGGATCTAAGAGGTCAGGTTTTGCGGGGAACCGTGCAGTCTTCCTAAGGAAGAACAATTGAATCTCCAGGGCTCTAAATGGAAAGGAAAAGCCGGAAAACCGGATCGCTGGCTCCTTCCTTTGGCGATTATCATCCTTCACTCCAAAGGCGAAAGGCTAACCTTTAGAGATTCAAGTTCTAAGACCGGCTGTCCCTACCCTTAGCGGATGTAGCCCACCAGCCCACCGCTTATTCTTAACCTTAGCGATCATTCACCTAGAGGCCTTGGCTTGGAGCATCAGCCTATTTAAGAGAAATCATTAATTCTCGCTTTTGGTGACTTTATACTCTCAGACATAGTCTAACTGTTGGCGCTTGTTCTTCGAAATGACCACCATGCACCCTTTCGACCCCCTCTCTCCAGCGGAGATCTCCAAGGTGAGAATCATTCACCGTCCTACAGCTTAGCCTTACAGCTTAGCTCATCCTTGGAGCCTGACCGACGAGATTATCACAGGTAACGGCCATTGTTCGCGCTCATTTCCCCGGACAGTCACCAGTATTCCGATTCATTACCCTCAAGGAGCCCGCAAAGCTAGAGATGCTGCCATTTCTAGAGAATGAGCACCGCGGCCTCCCACCCACCACTCGGCCAGCCCGCATTTCTCGTGTCCAGGTGGTCCTTCGCAGCGACAAGGGCGAAAACCAGTTGATTGAGCTTCTAGTGGACCTGGATAGCAAGCAAGTAATCAAGAACGAGCATCTTGTGGGAAGACACTCGTACATTGACGCGGACTATATGCGCCTAGTTGAATCGGCTTGTTTGGCGGACCCAAAAGTGCAGGACGAGATTAAGAAGCTCAAGCTGCCCGCCAACTCGACGGTAATCGTCGAGCCATGGGCCTATGGAACAGATGGGATGAATGACATGTCGGAAAGAATTTCGATGGTAAGTAATTATCGCCTTATTTATCCTGTTTCGAAGAATAACGGAAGTTGTAGTGTTGGTTCTACCTCCGGCTTCTAGATAACCCTGACGCCAACTACTATGCATACCCCCTGGATCTGTGCGCAGAGGTGTCCGAAGAACTAAAGGCCACTAAAATCTATTATCTGCCATCCTCCCAAGATGAGCGGATTAGTGATCAAGCCCGGCCTTTTGATATTAACCGAATCCATTCCACGGTGGATAGCGAGTATCACCCCAGTCTGCGGCCGCCACCGCGCAAGACAACGAAGCCCTACCAAGTCGTCCAGCCCGAAGGTCCTTCGTTTAGCACGCAAGGGAACCAAATTTCTTGGGAGAAATGGACTATGCGTGTGGGATTCAATTACCGCGAAGGGCTCACGCTACATGATATCCGCTACGATGGCCGGAGCCTCTTTTACCGTCTCTCCCTTGCTGAGATGTTCGTGCCCTATGGCGACCCACGCGCTCCCTATCCAAGAAAGGCAGCCTTCGACTTGGGGAGCGATGGCGCAGGTGTTAATGCAAACAACCTGCGTCTAGGATGTGACTGCCTCGGACTGATAAAGTACTTCGATGCGTGGCACAACACCTCTTCCGGAGAACCCCTAAAACTGCCCAACGTGGTCTGCTGCCACGAACAAGACGACGGCATCCTCTGGAAACATACCAACTTCCGCACGCAGAACGCTGTAGTAGCTCGCGCGCGCATCCTAGTGCTGCAAACTATCATCACCGTCAGCAACTATGAATACATCTTTGCCTTTCAATTCAGTCAAGACGCGTCCATCCACTACGAGGTCCGCGCTACAGGCATCCTATCCACGTGCCCTATCAACATCAACGATAAAGTCCCCTATGGCACTATTGTCGCCCCTGGTGTCTTAGCCCCCTATCACCAACACCTCTTCTGCCTCCGGATGGACCCCTGGGTTGACGGAAACGTCCAAAACTCGCTACAGGTCGAAGAGTCGCACGCCATGTCTGTCGGCGATCACAATCCCTTCGGTGTGGGATACACCACCAGTTCGAACATTATAACCGAGGAAACCGGGCTCGACCTCGACTTTTCCAAAAACCGCACCTTCAAAATCATCAACGAGGATTCCATCAACCCCGTCACAGGAACACCAGTGGGCTTCAAACTCCTTCCGTCTTACAGCCAAATGCTCCTCGCGCGCCCGGACTCCTATCACGCCCATAGATCCGAGTACGCCGCGCACGCAGTCTGGGTCACCCGGTATGACGACGAAGAGATGTTCCCTGCTGGTCGGCACACGATGCAGTCGACCGGTGGAGAGGGGATTCATTCGGCGATTACGCGGCGGAAGACCGATGGTAGTAAGACGTCTGTCCGTGATGAAGATATTGTCGTCTGGCATACGTTTGGGTCGACTCATAATCCGCGAATCGAAGACTGGCCGGTTATGCCGATGGATCGGATGCTTGTTGGTCTCAAGCCGGTAAACTTCTTCACTGGGAATCCCGGGCTAGATGTTCCCCCATCGACGCAGGAAAGAAATCGGAGCGTGTTGGTTGGAGGGGATTCTCTGCAGTCGTCATCAGATGCTTGCTGTCGGTTGTGAGCCTAACCTAGAGGCCATGGTCCGCTAGAGGTCCACCAGATTTAGATCGTTCGCAATGAAAACTTGGCATCGGAGTCTAGTGGATTTAGAAGTGCATGAAATGTTAGACTCTAGCAGAATATGATTTCTGATACAATACTTCTACCTATATCGCAAGGTGATAGCACTTCTTAGTGATCAAAGTACAGAGCCCTGGAGCCAATTCCACATCCAAACATCCTTTGAATATTGGAACAGTGGAGTCAGAGAGTGGAGATGATCTTGTTCAATCCGTAGTAAGGTTAATTCTCTAATGGAAGCAGGTCTCTGCATGAATTCTGCGAAATCATCGTAGGTCAACCAACCTACCCACACCTCTTCCATGTTCAGCCCTACCTTTGCAGCACCAATTATTGTGTACTGTATGGCGTTGGCCATTCCGCCAAGTAGTGATGGGGTGGCGGAGGCTTGGGTGCTTGCTAGCTGAGTGCCAGATCCCTCCCGTACACATGCCTGTGGCACCCAATCCAGGACTCGACAAGCTATTATCCTGTCTATCAAATTTCGCAAGAATGAATGGACGAGACATGGTGATATCTCAGGTGTCGATCAGGCTCAGGGCGAAGAAATTACCTAGCGGAGCCTTGGAGGGAAACTCAATATAAATATCAGACAGATCCATTGAAAACGGAAGAGTTACACTGGTCAAAGCCAATACATTTCATAATAGCCAAAGCAAGGTATATTCGTAGTGCTTTAACAACTGGAAGAGTAAACAAAGGTGAGATCACAAAAACCCAATAGAATCATGATGCGCCTAGACACTTCAGCGAGTTTCTGAGCTCCTTAATAGCAGTGTCAACATCGTCAAAAGTCAAAGCAGAGACCGCCCAACGGGCATGCTTCTGCGCCAACTGCACAGTGTTATCGTCTAGACCGTGTGATGGTTGTGACGGAACATATGGAGCCGGTGCGACCGGCGCATTGGCAGCTGGGGTCGGAACAAACGTTGGGACAGTCGGAGGCGGGATAGGAGCGCTAGCACCTGGGGTATCGTAAAAAGAAGCTGGGTCTGGCGTGGATACGGATGGGCCCTCAGCCGGGGGAGGGAAGGAGTGGAATGCAGTCGGGGTATCTGGAAGCTTACGTACCGAGGGCGAACCGCCAATGGCCGCTGGAGTTGAGGGGAGCTCTAAGCCACCTGTGTTGGAATCATCGACATCCATCGATTGCGGGGGAGAACCAGGTGCGTTGCGAGGAACAGAAGGGATCTCGGGCGGGGGACGAGGTGTTGACGATGTACGTGATGGATGAAGCGATTCATCGAGAGTGGATTTCCGAGCAAGCTCTCGTCCGAAACGGTCGGACTCGTCTGGGATCTCTTCGATAGAGGCTTGTCTTGGCTTGGAGGCCTGCTCCGCTACCGACTCATCAAATGCCTGAACGTCTGGATCATCGACGGGTTCTTCTTCCTGCTTTGGTGCGGGATTTGTTATGTTGGGATCCTCGCCGGCTTTAAAAGCCTTGACAATCCGGACCGCGTGGAATTTGGCGAATTTGATCCGTCCAGCAAGTTCTGGGTCTAGGGATCCCCAGATTGAACAAAGTTCAAGGAACGTGGCTGCTGCCTGGAAAGTATCTGCTGTTTGCCTTTTGGGTAATTAGCCGTTTGTAGCTCAAATAACCACATGGAGAGCTCACCTTGTGACTTTGTTGGCATTCATAGCGGCTTCAGCACGGCTGAAGACCTCCAATCCGAATTGCTCGATATAGGCTCTCGCCGCAACAGTGTCTGTCACTGTATCATCTTCTGGGTTTTCTACTTTGAACTGTTTCAATCCAATGCCATCAGCTGCTATGTCTCAGGCACGGAGTGCGGAACATAGGCCACTATAGAGGGACCGAGCGTGACGAGCCCGACTCACCTGCTCCAGCTTGTCCACGAGGTTCGTCGTGTAGAGTTTGATCTCATCGTCGGTATTGTGAAGTCCCCTTTCAATAATCTGGTTTACAATATGGAAATTGCCTACATAATTGGAGTTCAATCAGCTCAAATGTTCAGTTGCGCCGTGCGCGGTCTTGCGACTCACACCAGTAGGCAACCACAGGTTTAGCCTTCTCGATCTGAGTTGCCCTGATTGCAAATCGCCCGATGTCTGCCGATCGGAGTCCAGCTGGTATGTTACTCGCCATGGTTCAGGAGGTTTGTCGTGTTCAGGAGAAGACGCATGCGGTGAACAAATGACGTTTGGAGCTCGCGGAGTTCCCACCGCCCGTGTGCGGGGGCCGAGCTATCGGATCTTATCTACTCTGGCCTCGAGATTCTATGAAACTGGAAACTATTTCATGATATTTACTGTGTATTTCTGACTGTACTGGGTATCATTCATCTTCAATCGCCCACTTTCCAATCTCCACTCTCTCCTCTGCCAATGCTTCCACTTCAAAATGATCCTCCACCTGCCCTCCCGGACCCCCTATGCGCTCAATAACAATCCATACACAGCGTGATTCGGCACTGGGTAACAAATCGAAGTCATCAACTCGTACCCCGGACGCAGCATCGCTATGAGTTCCATCCTCCGAGGTGGCCAGTATCTCCTTGTATGGCCCCTGGCCCAGCTCCACGGTCATCAGCACCGGAGACGGAGCAACAGCGCGAAAGCCGACCGTGGACCGCTTATTCCTCGCAATAAGTCGGATCCGTGTCAAACGAGGGACCCGCAGTGATGCCAGCATCCGGTCCTTGCCCGGAGACAAAACACCCACTTCGGACAGTACGGCGCGCCGGCCAGCAGACTCGGAAACCAAGGGCTGGACCACACACGGGATCGTGGATGAAATCCATAACGTGAAGCGGCCAAGCTGGTCAGGTGCAAAGGTGGAGCAGGCGATGGTATAGGTGCCTCTGTCCAGGGATTTGGTCTCGGCCAGTGCGCATCCGCGACGGTAATCGCCACTATCTGCAATGATGTCTCGGCTACGCACGCGCGATACACGCTGCCCGTTTGACCAGAAGATTTTCACGTGAGTCGCTAGCTCCGCTTCAGTGGTCTCGAGCAATATCGAGACGTCTGTCGGTTCGGAAATTCGTATACTGAACTGTGGATTGGAGTGGTATCGAGGTGACTCGGCATTCCCACCCGCTGTCATTGCCGTCCATGAACCACTTGCCTTGGTCAAGCATAGGTATTTATCTAGCGAGGGTGCCACGGCCACAGGAGCAGTTGAAAATGCGGAGAGTGTGAAATTCTGGGTGGATGACGGGAGTGATTGCTCCGAGACCACTGCAGTGTACGTTGACTTGGGAGGCATTTCCAGCCTCATAAGTGTGTTGGGAGAGTCCACGTATGGTCCACGATGGAGGGCACCGTCACTGAGAGACACTCTTCGGCCGTCTGCTTGAAAGATGTAGATGCTGATAAAGCCTATTCCATTTTCCGATTCCCCAGAACTGAACTGTTGATGGTCTGTCTTAAAATGCTTCCCGAGCAGCAGCCAGACCGTTCCTCCTGAATCACTGGAGATGGAAAATTGGGGATTCTTGACGAAGCAGCCAGCGATAACTCGACCATGCGACAAATCCCAAGTGAAATGTATGTCCTCGCGATATTTGAACAAACCAGGATTCCAGTTAAGGTAAAGATTCTCGAAATTTTGGAGAACTTGTTCACAGTCCATCCAGAATGTTCCTGGGGAAAGGAGAGGTTTATCATCCAGGCCGAGTGAGCCGAGACCCGCCGTAAGACTGCTTTGTATATGGGGTTCTGCACCGGCCCACGGGTTCTTCAAAAGAAACTGACGACGACCCTGGACTTCCTTCAAATCCAGGATAGCATAGTCATGCTCGCCCACTAGCCCCAGGCCTTGTTGTTCGCGTTCAGTCAATTTTCCGGTGCCGATAGTCAAAACCACATCACCATGCCAGAAGGCACTGTACAAACGCCCCCAAATCTCATCAGAGGTCGAATCGTCGTGGTGTAAAAATACTTGTTCCGGAATCCAACCAGTAAGCACCCAAAGATCGGTCCCTGAGTTACTTCCTGGGAAATCATAGCCTCCACGGACCTTCAAGTAGGCCTTCTCCACAAGAGCAGGCCACAAAAAGTTCGAGTTATTGCGATCGATCACATGGAGTGAGCGTCTAGTCTTCGACGATGGCAATCGATCATCTATCACGACCTTTCGGAAAGATCCGTTGAAGTAGAAGCGAAATATGTATTTCCCAGAATGCGAAAGTATCGGGCTCTTATCCTCACCGCATGGGTACAGTGTTGGTGATGCATGCTGTTCGAATTAGCTTTGAGGGCTCCTCAACGTGGGGTCAAATTAGTCCGTACCTGCCCTAGACCTCGTTCCGATCGAGATGTCGTGGCACAGAGGCTCGCGACCACTGAACAGTCTGTCAAGACATCCTGCACGAGGTCTGTTTTCCCCGAAGCCGACATAACTGGATCGACTACACCATGCTCCTGGTTGGCCTCATTCATTGCCCATAACAGATCATGTGGCCGTTTCCAGCCTGCGAAAATTTCTCTCTGGCATTCAGAGAGGTGTAAATCAGGCGTATCCCTAAACCCGGTTAGAACAGATCAGCATTTGGGCCATGTTCTCCACATACGTAAAAGACTGCCCTTTATATACAAATTCATCCTGAAGTGGTGGGTGACTCCATGGTGGAAAGATATAGCCGTTGAGCTTGGCGCCCTCGAGGATGATGATTTCTTCACGGGTGGTGAGCTTCCGCGTGGATGCCGGCGGCCGTAGGCTAGGGAAGGCTTTCTGGGGCCCCGCACGAGCAGCCGACTGCCAGTCAGCAGCGGCCTTGATCTTCTCGGCTTTGGACAGCAATTCCTTGCATTTTGCGTGTAGTAGCTTTTTATCGTCGGCGGGCGCCAGGTGCAGCGCTTTCATGTAATGCTCGGCGGCATTGATAGCTGCCTCCAATGCCGCTTTCTTGGAGGTCGCTGCGGCTACCGCATCTTCAGCGCTCTATTGAATCATTAGCTTCAGATGTAAGTGGAAAAAGAAATAAAAATATACCAATGCTTCAGATATAAAGGATTGCGTGGATGGTCTAGACATACTTGGGTTGACTAGTCGTGGAGCAGGTAATCAGATCGAACAGCAAGTAAATTACCGGATTCGGCTGAGCCGAGAGAAGGCCACTTCAATGTTAGTTCCGGATATTCCGAGACCTGGATTTGTAGAGATCAACATCTTTGATAATTATTATTATATTAATCTCATACAAATACACAATATAACAAAAAAAAAGCACTAGAGACTACATCTTCAGAAACTAAAAGCGAAGTAACTAAACACATGGTGGAATGGGAGTCATGACATAAGCTCATACCGACCTCACTCCGAAGTGGACCTCGGCTCGTTTTAAGGTGAGAACGCCGAGGTGCATTTGCATTTGTGAATTCCGGCTCATGAGCTCGGTCTCTTTTTTTATTGTTCGGGTGACTTCGGTATGACCATAATCTCTGAGTGTTTCTCCATTGCACTCTCTCTTCCATTTCACCCTCTCCGCTGTTCGGAGCCAAGCAGTGTAGAGCCCCGCCCAATATTTCTCCTGTCGCCCGGCTAGGAGAATCGATCTCCCCAGGTTATATTCCTATTTGCATCCACTTGATTTCGAATACCCTCAGTCCACATCATGGCTGGTCAATCCAAACCTGCGCTGTCGCCATGGGGTAGCGCCGTGGCGGGCGCGACAGGAGCCGTCCTTGCAAACGCGATGGTGTACCCACTTGACTTGTGAGGTCCCAGATAAAACTTATCAGATCGAATCCCGCTGACTTATCGCTCCCGCTCTGTAGAGTCAAGACGAAACTACAAGTACAAGTCAAAGAGAAGAACGGAACCGTGCGAGCCGACGACCTCGAACATTATGAATCGACCATGGATGCTATCACCAAGATCGTGGAGAAGGAGGGTTATAATGGTCTGTACTCGGGAATGGCTGGAGCTCTTCTAGGTGTGGCCTCAACAAACTTCGCATACTTCTATTGGTACAGCGTCGTAAGAACGCTCTACATGGCTTCTGCCAAGCCGTCACAGGCTCCCGGCACAGCAATTGAGCTCTCCCTGGGCGCCGTCTCCGGTGCTGTGGCTCAGCTTTTCACCATCCCGGTTGCCGTTATCACAACCCGGCAACAGACACAGCCGAAGGGCGAGAAGAAGGGGTTGATCGAGACGGGTCGGGAGGTGGTGGACAGCGAGGACGGCTGGAGCGGCCTGTGGCGCGGTCTGAAGGCTAGCTTGATCCTGGTTGTCAACCCGGCCATCACCTATGGCGCATACCAGCGTCTAAAAGATGTTCTCTTCCCGGGGAAGAACAACCTCAAGCCCTGGGAGGCATTCCGTGAGTAGGGGCAATTCTGCGGGTCGAGAATGGCTTGCTAATTATTATTTTAGTGCTTGGTGCCATGTCCAAGGCTTTGGCCACGATCGCAACCCAGCCTCTGATCGTCGCCAAGGTTGGACTGCAGTCTCGCCCACCGCCCAGCCGGAATGGCAAGCCTTTCAAGACCTTTGGTGAGGTCATGAAGCACATTGTTGATAATGAGGGTCTCTTTTCCCTATTCAAGGGTATTGGACCACAGATTCTGAAGGGTCTTTTGGTCCAAGGTCTGCTGATGATGACCAAGGAGAGGTATGTTTTCTGTTTCTAAATTAACATCTGATTGTACTGACTTTCGGAAAGGATGGAGCTTCTTTTCATCGTCCTGTTCGCTTACCTCAAGAACATCAAGAAGGATAAATTGCGCAAGGCAGTGGATTTGGCCGCGGAAAAGGCCAAGACCAGCATGCCTGCTACCCTTAAATAATTGTCTTATAGTTAGATGAAGGGACTTTGGGTTTCCCTTCGATTCCAAATTGTGTTTACCTAACTGGCGCGTCGGTATGCCGGTGGCAATTCTGGTGGATTTTGAACAGTCTAGACATTTCCCGGCATTTTCTTGCTGGAAGCACTTGATATGATAGAACCTTGTGTTTGTAGCTTTTCAATATCATTACAGATCTGTACATGGCCATGGGCGTTCCTTCCTTCCTTTAGCACCCATGCACTGCTTCTATCGACACTATGTAGTTAACCATCCCTGGTTATAGATATAAATATCTTCTTCTTTAGAAGGAAACAGCTAATAGGAATCTCAAAAAGACGAGGCGTAGTAAGGATCGCAGGAATTCAATTCATCTTTTCTTTGAAGGCCTTTTGTATGAGCTGTAACCAATGTTCAGTCCTGCAACGAAAGGCATGACTTTGTTGCATCGCTGGTCTCTGAGATAGGACAGGTTAAGAGAACCGTAAATCCTCGAATGATTGAGGTGCCATGTCTTCAAAACACATGCGAGCACTCTGTTTCGGGCCATCTCCATCATGTCGTCCAAACCGGACATGGTTCCTCCACAATAGGTCGTCTTTCGTAAGGCCAGGGCCCAGGTTAACCCACCTTTTCATGATGACAGCTATTTTGGAGTCAAATTCAATGATTTCAATCTGGGTATCCGTATTGCACTCGTGACAGGTATGGGCGAAAGAGGCCTTCTCTCCGTCATGTGAGGACGGGTCGACAAGAAGATTGTGTGGACATGGGTCCGAGTGAGGATCGCATGGAAGAGGATACAACCGTCCAGCCGACGAAGCAGCGCGGGTGTGTGGACATGGGTCATACCTGCATTGAGGACCCCAATATGCAGAGATCGAATAAATCAAATTGTTCGGTGTTCCAACGAGCATTATATCGGGCATCCTGATACAAAGGCCAAGGGGCTCAGGACAGATTTGTGCTTCCGTTGAGAATAGCGAGATTCTGTCTGCGTGTATAGCGTGGCGCACTTGTGTATCGGATAGAGAATCAGTACTGATCCCAAACCTGGGACCATAGTAAAACCTCCTCATAGCAATCTTTAGCTGGAGGAAAGAAAGATGGTTTGCTGAATAGGTGCCAGGATGGGTTCTCATAACGAACGACATCCCAAACCACTCCCCCACACATGAGAGTTGGCAAGTTCTTTCATGAGCTAATCCACTGAGCCCAAAAGTCTCAGATCCATCATACTGATGAATGAGGTTGCAAACATCGCAAGCGAAGTACCGTGGAAGATCTCCTTCCAACCGGATCAAGATGGAGAGGTTATCGTCTTTTGTGCGAGGCAGCCGGTTTGTTTGTCTCAGAGACAGTGCAAGGAGTCGACGATTGCAAAGGGAAAAGCAAATAAAATCAACAAGTGGAAGATGGTCGGATATTGACAATAATAGCCTCGGAGAGAGTTCGGCGAGTGTGGTCATAGTCAAAGTTGGCTTTTGAAGTCAAAGAAAGAAAGCAAGTGTATGGATGCAGACTTATTATAAAGCTGGAAGGGTTCATCTATAGGACCAGCTATATATCACTCCGATTCCCTTTTTGGGGCCGTCCCGACCCAGACGGGAGCAGGGCCTCGTTTCGAAACTATCGGATATTAACCCTATTGTCAAGAAGACAAGGAAGGAGCAGAGAATGTCGAGAATGTTACGAATCTAACAAAGAACCTGCGGTACATGACTCCGTGCAGAGGAATTATACCAGTAGTCTACGTCTGTAATTAGTACTGTAATCCATGGTTATTCGGGGACTGTGAATTTCCTTTTCTGGTTAGTTTTGCTTTTTGGGTTTAGCGCCCCAAATCCTTGAAGATTACTGTGAACATATCTAAGATCAAAGAACCCGCCCTGTCATTCCTTTCTAATCTCTTTCCCGTGTCATGTACGAAGTAACCGGAAGATCTCGATGATTCCCCTGATCAAGAGACCCCTATAATCCGCGCTGCAGCCAAAGCAGATTCCGCTCTACTGGAAGCCTTTTTGGCTCGTCATGCCGCATTAAGTGCAGAAAAAGAAAGATGCAACCGAGCGGGAACAGGTTCAACTAGAATACTTAGGGCCGAATGGAGTCATGCCCGTGCCTTCATACCTATCGCCTATCATATCTGCCACTGACGCTCATCTGCCACGCAACACCCGTCTTCTCTTGGCCGCAGGAGCAGATCCCAATGGCTTATATCGTTATGATATGGCAGACTACTCAGTCCGGTTCATCCGTGGCCGCCATTTCAAAGACGATATTACTAGCTTCGCGGTGTGTACGTCTCGGGCCTTTGTCTTAGCAAATGCACAACAGAAAGGAATAAGCCATCAATTGTGCCCCTTGACCCAGACGGAACTTGATGAACACAGTCATGGTTTTCCCCGATTTTGGACGGAGCCAAATGTTCCAGGTCAAAGATTGCTCTAAAAAAGGCTCTGACAGCGCTAGAAACTGCCGCCGGGGTTGGTAATCTGGAGATCCTCGATATTTTACCTGCAGCTGGCGCCGATGAATCTGCATGGTTGCAGGAAGTATCGTTGGCCGAGAAGCAATCAAATTGACGATGCGAACTGGTCAATCTCCTTTCTGTCTACATCCTCTCCTATTCACAAGGCCATCGCAGCGGGTCAGCAGACTATGCTCCGTCATCTGCTCCTACCTGTGGGTACTCGCCTAACTATCGCCCCTATGCTGCTCCAATCGTCGCTCCCCAGCCATTATCTTATGGCAGTGCTCGTTGTGATTTGAATGATTCTAGGGTCCAGAGATGCCTAGTTGATCTGTTGTCTCTCCCCCAGCTGGATGCGAATTTGCGCATACCGGTCTTCAATGTCCATCGCAACTGCGCACCATAATCCAGAGCTTCTCGTGGCTAGCGGCTTTAATTCCTGGAGGATACGACTCTGCAGGAACCACGTCGTTAGGACACACATTGCTTCATATCGCTACGTTGCCTTCCACAGCCCACCAAATTATGATTCGCAATTCTGATGTAGCAAGGAGCATACACTGCACCCGCACGCCAGATTCGAGCTGGAGGCCCCATCGACTGCTGAGTCAGTTCACATGGACTTCTCGAACCCCGAGGAGGTGGGCTTTCACAATTCGCCAATTCCAATGACTGTCGCCCAACAACTGGCGCAGCAGGCCACCATCCGGGTTTTGTTGGAATGGGGAGGTGTTGATGTCAGAGCAAAGGATATGGATGGCAACACCGCGTTGCATTACATGGCAGGGAGGTTAATATGAGTGAGATTACGCTTGGCTTGGTTCGAGAAATGGATGAAAAGGGTCTGGCAAGAATCGAAAAAATTTCTATGGGCTTACTCCGAGAGGAATGTGGGGGGAAGAAGATAACGAGAGGTGAGTTCATCTGAATCTATTTCATGTTTCAGCAGAGGTACTTTCACTATTCAAACCGTATTGCATGTTGCTATTTATTCTTGCAATCGGACGATTAAGACCTTACTACTCACTGATTGTTTTAGATGTTACATTTATCGCAAAGCGTCTTCTCGACACAGCGCCTTCAAACTTGAAAGAACAAGGTGCTTCAACTGTCGAGAAAGATCTAATGACTCAAGCGGCGCAAGCGTCTCTTCGATCTCGAATGCGGAAAACGGGCAATTAGGCTGACAGTCGACTGGGCTTGGCGCCAGAAGCTCTTTGTTGGATTCGCTTGCTGTATTTCCTGTACCTGTGCCCAATGAACGCGTTCAATTTTCGTCTCTAAATAAAGGATACATTCAAAGCTTTCACAATATCACATGTCTATAGATCAACTAGCTCATCAATACTATAGTGAGAAATCAAGGTGCCCTCGCTTGCCTGATGCATTTTACTTTCCACGATGGCGTCAATATTAAGCCGCTCGTCTGCACTGAGCAGATGCGCCTTTTTGAGGCGCTTAAAATCCCTGTGTGCCATTACACCCGTGGACTACACCTAGCGAATAGAGATCTCATTAGTCCTAGAGAGACCATTCGGATACTTTCTAGAAACCGACCGCGTGCTCCTAAGAAGCTAATACCTCCTAGGAAACTGTGCCTTCTCGCATAACTACCAATTCGTCTATTTTCGATATTGTGTCATTCAACTTTCTTGTGCGTCTTCAATCAGACAATTGTCTGCCAGGAATGGCTGCCATCCATCTATCTTACGTACATAAGCCGGTATGGGTAAGCAGCAACAGCACCCGTGGACGATTCCTTGCTCCGCAAAATATTTTGTACTCGAGCGAGTCTGGCACCCTATGTTTGGTTATGATACCCTTCCAAATTAGAATGGCTTTCTCTTCCTCGCCCGAGAATTTGTCAGCATATCAGAGATGCTAATGAAGATGGGGTAAGCTGTAGAAGGTTGGCAATAGCCTTATGGCCATTCTGATCAGCCAATGAGAGCGGCGTCCTACCATCCGCGTCCTCCGCGTTGACATGGGCTTTTCCCGTGTCGAGGAGCAGCTGGACCACGGCCATATTGCCTCTCTCAGCTGCCCACGAGAGCGGCGCCCGGCCATCCTCATCCTCCACGCTGACATCGGCTTTGCCTATGTCGAGGAGCAGCTCGACCACGGCCGTATGGCCACCCCCGGCGGCCCACGAGAGCGGCGTCCGACCATTATCATCTTTCACATCGATATCGGCTTCGCCCGTGTCGAGTAGCAGCTGGACCACGGCCGTACTGCCACCCCCGGCGGCCTTCGAGAGCGGCGTCCGACCATCATTATCCTTCACGTTAATATCAGCTTTACCCGTGCCGAGGAGTAGCTTAACTATAGGGGTATAGTTCCGTAGAGAGACCCGCGAGAGCGGCGTCTGACCAAACACACTCTTCGAGTTGACATCGGCTTTGCCCGTGTCGAGTAGTAGCTGGACCACAGCCGTATGGCCGTTCCAGGCGGCCCGCAGAAGCGGCGTATGACCAATTTGATCTTTCGCGTTAACATCGGCTTTACCAGTCTCGAGTAGCAGCTGGACCACGGCCGTATGGCCTTTTTCCGCTGCCCACCAGAGCGGCGTCTGACCACTCTTATCTTTCCCGTTGACATCGGCTTTACCCATCTCCAGTAGTAGCTTCACCACGGCCGCATGGCCTTTTTCCGCTGCCCACGAGAGCGGCGTCCGATCATTGTTACCCTGCGTATTTATACTCGCCTCGCCCGTGTGAAGTAGCAGCATGGCCCTGGCCACGGCTGCATAGCACCCGACAAGCAGCATGGCCCCGGCCACGGCTGCATGGCCTTTTTCCGTTGCGCACGAGAGTGGCGTCCGATCATTGTTACCCTGCGTATTTATACCCGCTTCGCCCGTGTGAAGTAGCAGCATGGCCCTGGCCACGGCTACACAGCACACGACAAGCAGCAGCGTCGGATCAATTCTACCCTTTACGCTGATCCAGACTTTGGCCGTACTAAGTAAAAGCTTCTTGGCAATTGCTATGCAGGTATACCCGGTGGCCACTAAACCCAGTGTTGCGCCAATGATGCCCTTCGCGTTGACATCCGTATCCGTCCCGTGGGCATCGGCAGAACTAAGTAGCAGCTGGACCGTGGCTGTATGGCCATTCCTGGATGCCCACGTGAGCGGCGTCTGACCATTATTATCTTTCGCGTTGACATCGGCTTTTCCCGTCTCGAGTAGCAGCTTGACCATGGCTACATAGCCTTTCCGGGCGCCCCATATAAGCTGCGTCCGGCCATTCTTATCTTTCGCGTTGATATCGGCTTTACCCGTGTCGAGGAGTAGCTTAACTATAGGGGCATAGCATTTCTCGGCAGCTAGCCAGAGCGGTGTCCGACCAAGCTTATCTTTCGCGCTAGCATCGGCTTTGCCCGTGTCGAGTAGCAGCTTGACCACGGTCACATGGCCATTCCCGGCGGCCCACGAGAGCGGCGTCCGACCAGAGTTGTCTCTCCCGTCGATATAAGTGCCGTCCTGATCTACCCTCTGTAAAATTACTCGCAGCAGCCCTATCAACTGGTATCGCGAAACCACGTGTAGCATGCTGGTCCCATTCGACGGACACTTGTCTGAGTATGGGCTGACTATATTGTAAAAGTGCACCCATAGGCCCATAAGAGCTTCTGACGGCCAGCCGAAATAGCCCAGAAGATCGTCTTGAGGGACTTCCCTTGTTTCGCTTTGTTCTGTATGCGACACCCATGACGTTGTGACGTAGCCTAATAGAGGGAACTCAAACAATAAGCTACTACGATCGCGGGTAGTTGACTGAGCGAGTTCCTCCATTTTCAAGTACCGGACACAGGTCCTAGACAGCTGATAGTGTGCGATTCCGACTACATCTGCCTTAGCAGTCTGGGTTTCAGCCGGCTTTGAGCTGTTGTCCAGAGACGATAGGCCTTCCTCGACAAAAAAGTCCTTGACAGACTGGTGGATGAACTGTACGACCCGTACGTTAGACGATGGTACGACCTCGGCAAGACCGCGACTAAGCGTTCTGAGTCTCCTCTCCATCATATCGCAGTCGCATGCGAAATCTTCCGCGTTCCGGCATTGTTGCAAAGACTTGAGCGAGCAATCGGCACTGACGATCAAAGCCCAGCGCAACTCGTCTAGAGAGAGGGGCCGCGTGGCGAAGCAGATCCATTGGACCAGTCTCAGGGAAGCTGGACTTTTGTCCATGCTCCGGACGAGTTCTTGGTATAACTTATTTAGGTCAGGAGGGATAGAACTGATATCTTCTTCGACCCTCCGCCACCCATACCCTTCACGCACAAGGTCAAGAACGCGCTGTATTACGAGACGTGCCCACATGAAAACACCAGAGGCATGATCCGTAATCATTCGTGGAATCTTAGGTGGCATCGTAGTCTGGGTACAAAGCTGGGTTTGCACGTAGGTCGAAATATCCATTTGGTTTTTATCCTCGAGACAAATTTCATGTTCGCTACCAAAGTCCAGAATCGGAAAGTGACGGCAAGTGAAGCAGATGCGAAACTGTGCACTAGTGGACTGGAGCCCATGGATAAGGGACTTAAATTCCTGGGCTAGTTCAATAGCGTTTTGTTGGCCACATTCGTCCAGCGCGTCGACATATAACCAGACTGGGCGACTCTCCAAGACCCTCGGAAGTGAAGACTTGAAGAACTGTTGCAGCTCGCTTGGATTCCACTGCCACTTTTCGTCTGGCTTTCCAAGATCCTCGCAGCGTTGTTGAAAGGTGTCGACGAGGTCGCACAGTGCGTCGGGAACATGTTCAAGGAGCTGATAAAGGAGCGACCGGAAGAGGCCAAGCGGCGTCCTTTGGAGTTCAGTACCCCGACCGTGGAAGAAGAACGAGAGAACGAAGGCTCTGTCTCCGATATGGGATGCTCCCGTATTGTGGAGAGCGTGTCGTAGCAGTGTTGACTTCCCAGAGCCAGGTTTTCCCCTGATCCAGAGCAGGCTTTGATTGCGCCCAGCCCAGCTGTTATACGTCTTGTCGTGAAACAGCCACTTACATGTCCCCTCGGCGGCAGCGTCAATATCGTTGGACCGATTATTCATTTCCGGGAAGGCCAGCGATTGTAAACAAAGTGACCGCGTTGAGGGTGCGGGTGGGCTATGGCCTTCAAATATTTAGCTGGAAACAACATGCTATCGACGAGAACGCTCGGTCTTATCTTACCGCCATCCTGGTTAAACTGCACAGGCGCAAGGAATGTAGCCCCACTTATTAGATGGCCACTGCCAGTATGGTTATGCTGAGGACCACCAGTTGCGTTGAATTGGGGCCCAGAGCCGTGGTGGTTAAAGGATGATCCCTCAAAAGGGTAGCCGCTTGCTTGCGATTGCTCGCTTGCGCCTGTGGATCTCTCCATTGTTCAAGGCACGTTGGGTTAATTGAAGGACTGCTGAGGAGGAAGCTAAGATAATCAGGATTTGCGCCTGAAGAATGTGAGCTTGACCACAGGGCTCGCAGGTCTGAAGGCTTTATCACTCGCACCCCTCCTCACAAAGCCGGTATATCTGGCGAAATGACGGAAGATGGCAACCAAGGTGGATATTTTAAAATATCTTCGTCTCTGCCGGGAGAAGAGCAAGTGTGCAAGAAGATGCGAAGTGGCCAGCCAGGGACTGGCGAGGACGACGAAGTTGGACCTGCGGAATATTCCCTGGCGGTTATCGCGGGGCTGAAGAGGCTGGAGGGGGCCAACTGGGCGACGCCAACCCAGCTTCGAGAAACAGCAGATCCTGGGGCTGAATTACAGGACGTGCGAATTGGATCGGTTCCGGTGCCCAGCTGATCTCTGCAATTGGACATTTGGGGCATGCGGTAATTGCTCCTTTCCTACAGACTGCGAGGCGTTGTGCTGAACATATGAGTTGTAGCCCTACAGAACCCAATGACAACTGCAGTAGTAGTGCAGCCAGCAGCGGATCACATCCGCTTGTTTGATGTACTCGTGATATTATGAGCAATCTTAATTATTATTAGTCAAAGTCGATAGTTTTAGCCTCATATCCCTCACGGCCGTGATACGCTGGTCGTGCATGCGCGTCGCGCCGCAACTGCAGTCATCAATGCAGTGATGAGTTGTCAAGTTCGCCAGGATTGTCTCGCAAGTGGTCTGGTGGAGCCCTCTAGGGTATGAAAGTAGCAAACGACACATTTCGCGGTGCGTAACCCCGCCATCTATATAGACATGAGAATCGAGGAATGACGATGTAAGATATAGCAGGCCGTCAGCGGAGGCAACCAGGGATTCCACAACAAGCGCCCTGAGCAGCTTTATTTAACCCTTGTCGAGTCCCAACCAAACCTGGGGCATTCCAGAGACAAGCCTTCTCTCGCATATCAATTTCCCTAATCCCTCTTCTTCGGAGCAAGGATGACACGCGACCACGTCACAAGTTTGATCTTCGATACGATCGCCTTTCTCAAAGGCGCCACGGAAGACTACAATATCGTCAAAGATGACAAGGCTCTCCGTGAGGCCTTCCATGAAGCAGGTCGAGGGCTACACCTTGTCGAGAAGGCTCTCCAGACTGCCGAAGCTCAACTAGCGGGACGCGACCTGGCTGGAGAACCACAGGGCGCCTATAGCGCTCTCGAGGCCTGCAACATGAAAGCAAAGCTGTCCCAAAGCCTCTTCAAGCACGTTGCTCAAGCACCGGAGACTTCTAGGTTCGAGCGTTATAAGGAGGCCGTGGGACGAGATGGCAAAGAAAGCATGGTGGAGGTCTTGGTGACGGGGATGATGAATGACATCTGTGATCTGGCCAAAGACAGCGCGATTGAAGCAGCAATGAAAATACAAGTCAAGGCATTACGCGATATGATCGACAAGTTGTCAACGGTGCAGCCTTCCTTACCAACCGAGTCGCCGGGAAACACCTTTTCCAATTATGGCTCCGGCAACCAATTTAACGCACCTGGAGGTACTCAGAACAACAATGCAGGTAACGGCAACCAATTCCCAGGGGCTACTTTCAGTGGCACTGTGCATTTCGGCAACAATCCATCTTGAGAAGCAGTGCTGTTTGTGTCAGGGTAGCTGAGCCGAAGACAGGGTTCTTTCCAGCACATGTCGTTGTATCGTTGGTGGAGCTGTGATGTCTACGTGGTGTATATAGGCGTTATTCAGGCGTTACTACCACTTCCACGACAGCGTTGGATTTAAACAAATGAATTACGGCAAGATGAAGCATGGTGGGGACAATGTGACGGACTATTTACGTCCCTAATTTGATTTGCAGCCAAATTGATCGACTAGATACCTTTAGGCACGTACTGTCAAGGAACTAGCTAAAATGCACAGGCCCACTGAAATCCCCAAGGAATTGGTTGCCACTTCCCGTATTGTTATTCTGAGTACCACCGGGAGCGTTGAGTTGGAGCCCAGGGCCATAGTTGGTAAAGGATGAGCTGGCTGACTTGTCAACCTGTGCTTCTCCCATCGATTGTGTTGGTTGACTGGCGGCTGAATCCCTGATATGTGACTCCCATCTGATCAGCTCGCCAAGCAGCCTCTTGAATCCATTGTTTTCTGCGGAGCTAAACTTGACCATATCTCTATGGTTGGCGTGGATGCTGAAAGAACCGTAACCCTCTAGGGTGGCTGATTCCTTGGTCACAACTTTCCCAACCAAAGGCAGAGGCAGTTCTTCAAAGAAGCAAGTGACCTCAAGACGCCTGCCGGCTTCTCGTAGTTCCCGTATCATTGACCAAAACCTGACTTGAGTGGACTCAAGGAGCTGGCCATCTGTTTCCAAGATCTTCAACAGCGACTTGTTGGTGGACTTCACGAGACCAAGAGCCGGAGCCGGTATCTTGGCCCAGTCGGCCATCCAGGACCCCTTGTGAGGCGTGCCCATGAATACGATGCCCTTAGTGCAATCGAATATGCCACGAAGATGAGATTCGGGATTATTCCGCGAGAGGAGAATGGCCTCCTTACAAACGAGGCCGCCAAGGCTGTGAGTGACGAAAATGAGGGGGCGAGATGAGGCATCGCAAGAGGCTCTCTCCACGGTCAAGTCATTTAGAAGGTTCATGGCATGATCGATTAGACGATTTGAGGATGCACCTGATTTTTGCAAGATGTACGCGTCGTAGCCGTAAGTGAGGATGCGAGCTCTGGGGAGCTTAGGCGGAAGAAGCGTCTTTGGCCACGGCGTGAATTGCCCTTGGGCGGTCCAGGTGCTGTTTCGATTGCCGGTCAAACCATGGATAAAGCAGATATCAATTGTAGCGTCGGGATAGCTGTACAATACTTCAACTCCATCGGGGAAAGAGTCACGCGGTGGGACCTCAGAAGATGGCCCAGAGTGTTCCGTCTCTAGGTGCGGTCGCAAATTATCGCCCTTCGGGTTGTAGGCAGAGCTTGGCTGCTTCTCTGTAGTGTTAAATACCGCTTTGATTTTCTCCATCCTTTAAGGCTGGTTGGATCGATCTGAAGAATGGTCGCTGGCTCGGTTGGTTGCCATGTGGCTCGAACAGGGATGGCAATGTCTTGCTGACAGACACGTCTGTTCTGTGTAACTAGCTAACGTATTCCATATGGGGAATGTCGAAAGGACAACGAGATACCTAGGTATACTCCTTACGACCTAGTACTAAATTGACTACATGTATGTAGCTCATTAATACCAGTGTTTTGTCTCAGACTGGGATATGGCCCCCCAAGGCTATATAATAAAAGGAACCTTGGTTTTTGTTATGGTCCAGTGGTAAAATCGCCGTAATTTTATTACACATTTCGTGTAACTAGTAAATTAAAGCTTAGTTAGTTAATGATGTTGGAATAGCTTCATACTCGTAACCTTAGAATTAAGCTACGAATCTAACAAAGAACTTGCGGTACAAGACTCCGTGAGAGAAATTATAGTCTACATATGTAATTGACAGTGTAAATGGCGGACCTGGGAATGGCCTTCGTGGGTTACCTAGGTAGTTTTGCTCATTACGCTGTCAGTGCTCCCAGGGATTCAGGTAGGCAAGACAAAATCTGAAGAGATCAAAGACCAACAAAGTATAATCAAGCCAAGATCCCTCAGACCTTAAATACCTAAGGCTTTTCTGGCGTAGGCCTCTCTATTAATGAAAGGTAGGAAGAGAAAGAGGTCTATAGTTAATATGGTCGAGTTGTTTTAGAGATAGGAAGGAAGAAATAGTCAGCCAAAATTTTCCAATTTTTCAGAAGATCATTCTACTACTATTTGAGAGGTCTAGCTATAGTCCTATTCTTATACTACATATCCCAATACGGCCCCTGATGCAACTCATCAGTATCCAGAGCATTCACAACCACCTTGCCTTATCTCCATTATGGCTCAGAAGCAAGCCGCTAGTCTCGGCATCCAGACTCTCAATCACCTGGAGGCACTTTCTAACGCTCTCATTAGGCTGAATCTGCCCCTTGAGTTCAGGGTCGGCTGCCTGAAACTGCTTCAGCATGACATTTTGCGCTTGTACTACCTGAAAGGGTTTCTCTCCTGCGATGATATCAGTGTCCACGGATGTCGCAGCAAGGCAAAATGCCACTTACCCTCCCACGTATCAACCCATCCAGGGCTCAAAGCCAACACCTTGATGCCTCTAGGCGCAAGTTCTGCTGCGTACTTGGCGACTTGGACGTTCATCCCGGCTTTTGCGACAGAGTACGCGACAGCATCACTGACACCAGTCTTATTGATAAAATCCAAATCCGCCATGGCGCTGGAGATGTGCACAATTTTCTTCTGGATGCCCTTCTCAATCAGGGGTAGGAAGGCGTTAGTCGTCCATAGACTGCCGTAGATACCGGTACTGAACGGCAGGTCGAAAATTGCCCGAACGGCTTGAGCATCAAAGGGAATCTGGGTCGGGTTGGAGGACATGGTGGCCATATCAACGGCGTTGGAGTTGTGGATAAGCACGTCTAGCTTACTACCGGTGACAGCAGCTGCGGCCGAGGCTGCCTCGAGAATGGACTTGGGGTCTGTAACATCGCCTTTGATGACGTGCAAGTTATGGTGATTGGAGGCGAGCTCAGATATGTCGGGCGATTCGGGGTCTCGCACAATAGCTAGGACCGTGTTGGCCGTATCGGCAGCGAGTTGGCGCACGAACTCGCAGCCAATGCCTTTGGAGGCTCCGGTAATGGCATATGAAGACATTTTATATTTTGATTCAAGATAAAAAAATAGATATTCCAGTGATGAATGGATAGATCTATTGCTGATGCGATTGCGATATTTATATAGTTCCAAGCGGGTTATACATTCGATTACAAACCGTTCTAATCGGACGGTCCGGTTTTCCCGGTCCAACTGAGCAACCGGCCGTCCACATCAATCACTCCGTTTCCTCCGCGGCTCCGTTTGCGATATCATGAGCGCCACAATAGCTGCAGTCAAGAGGAGGGCATGCGTGGCGTGTACGGCTGCCAAGGCGAAATGCTCGCCGCAGGCCGTCAACCTGTGCCAGCGGTGCGCTCGTTTGGGCAAGTCATGCACATACCTTGACCTTCCGCAGACGAAGCGGAAGCGCAGGGCTGCACCAAGGCAATGCTTCCCAATACACATAGACATAGCACTTGGAGTACTAATTATGGATGCAGCCGTGTGGAGATGCTAGAGAAGAAGGTCGACCAGCTGACGTCGCAGCTGGCTGCCTTGACCCGACAGGACGGGCAGACACCGCCCGATACATCTACTTCTAATCCGCTCGCCCACGACTTGGGCTCGTCTTGTGATCCCGAGCTGGATTCGACAGACATTGCCGGGCTGCTAGATGCTGCTAAAGACCCATCCCATGGCCTCGATCCGCCGACCAGCTCTGTTCTGGAGGGTCAGCCATCTATCGTAGATCGAGGACTTTTGAGTGAAGCCGAGGCTGAACGCTTGGTTACGACATTCCAGCTTGACTTAGTGCCCAAGTTTCCCTTCGTATTGATTGCACGCGGTGAGACAGCCGCTCGCCTCAGGGACCGAGAGCCTTTTCTCTTTTTGTGCATCGTGGCCGCGACCATAGGCAGTGCGCACCCTCTGCGGAAAACTGTCGCCGAGGAGATTATGGAACACGTTACGTCGAGGGTTGTAGCACGGTCTGAGAGGAATCTCGAGTTGCTCCGTGGTCTGTTGGTACACTGCGCATGGTACTCATATCCTGCAGAAAGATATCACCCGCGACTTTTGCTGTTGATTCAGTTTTGTGTTTCTACTTTGTATGATTTGGGACTGCACAGAAAGCCTAGTCCAAATTCGGATGAGCAGCGGGCGCTGCTCGGTACGTATTGGCTGTCGGTTGGGTGAGGTTGTCCGCGCTGGTAGAAGCGGCTTCGGCTAACTTTATATCAGTATCTGTGGCACACTCGGCCGGCCGATTATCATGAAGCATGATTCTCGAACTGGTGAGTGCATTGAGAGTATAGCAGCTACCGAACATCTGTCGGATCGGTGGATTGCGGCATTTATCCACCTACAGTCTTTCTTGGCAACAGTGGATGAAGTCTACGCTTCGATAGAAGCAAGCAGTGGAAGGGCGCTCATCCAAGTTACGCGCAGCTCTCTGCAGCGGCAATTTGATAGCGTGAGGGCATGCGTAGAAAGAGATCTCTCAAGCTATCCTTTGTCAACAGGTGTGTGTCTTGGACCCCAAGTGGCTGACAGAGATTGACCGGCCTGGCAGAAAGTGCAATGCGCACTGAAATCAAATATGTCGAAATGCGGCTCGAGGAATTATCTCTTCGGGAGGAACTGTGGATTGCAGAGCCTGCCAGCGCAGTCCGGACAACGATGCTGATGGGTATAATCCAGCGAAGCAAGGAGCTCATTCACACGGTCAGAGACCTACCAGTCTCGGAGATTGTCCATATGACAATAACTACAAGTGCTCGTATATGTGCCGCAGTGGGCTACATGCCCACTGCAGTATTGACCCTTCTCAACCTCATTACTGGCCCCACCGACTCTACCACGGAAGCCCAAGTGCAGGCCATTGTTGATGCAGCAGACTATCCCAATCTCGTCACAGAGCTTGCCAAGGCGCTGGAGACGAAATTTGAGGGAATGTCTGCTGCAGACAAAGAGACGGACATTGTGGGGAGCCTTTGCTCTAAAATGCGGCTGCTAGCACGTTGTTACCCATATCAAATCAGGGCAATTATTGGAACTGCGCCGTCCCAAGACGCCAGGCAGGATACGTCCGTGATGGCTGTTCACGCCAACGAGGTCGCTATGACACCCCAAGTCTGGCCGTCTATCTACGGTGATCTGGGCGACATATTCCCCGTCGAAGACATCCAATGGGATTCTATATTGAGCAATTTCACTGGTTTTAGCTCGTATAGCTGACATGTTCTTCTGTGAATCATGTTACAAAGACGGTCGATACAATATTACATGGTTTCATGATAATTGATCAAGGCTTCTGTAAACACCCTCGCCTAGTTCAAATGCATAAGAATCCCATAAATTGTTAATACACATCGTGTGAGGTACAAGACAACGGCCAGGTGTAACGGTTTTAGAAGTGTCCACAGGTGGTCCAGTTGGTCAAGTCTATCAATGATGCCAAGCTACACAGAAGCATTGTTCTAAGGTTAGTATACATAAAATGTGAAAGCAGTACATATTTCTAAGCTTGACAAAACCTATAGGATTTAGTGTGAAGTCTGTGTTAGGGGACTCTTGAAATTCATACAACCCAAAGAAATCAGTATAAGTGAAGAATGCCGACTCCAACGGGTGGAACGGATCCTCCGGACCGGGACGGTCGAAAATCGAGAGATGCGACGGCTTTCGAAGTTACGGAAAGCCCTTTCTGGCGTCTAAGGTCATTTTCGTCAATTCCGCACTCAGATTCAGTAAGTAATAATTCATATAAGCTCATGCTCAAAACTAAACTAATTTTAGGCCGGTCTTCATAAGCAGAGTCTCCAATGGGACAGATGTGTAATGTCTTCCAGGTGCATCTGTGAACTGCCCGGAGCTATCACCAGTAGACAGTGGGCGCAAAAATTCCACAACGCTGGCATGATGGTGCATTCGAGCCCAGTCAACAGCGGTGAACGAGATTATGTATCAAAACTGTGGCGATGAGTACTATTTCCATATGTGCAGCGGGATAGCAACTCCTCTGCATTACGCCGCTGGGAAAGGATTACTTGATTCTGTTAAGGTACTGGTTGATGGAGGTGCATTGCCCTATATTAAGGACCCTTCCGGTCAAACCGGGATGCCTTTCGCAATCAGATAACGTAGGACTTCGAGCCGATCATCTAGCTTTCGCATTGCGGCATAATGCATCACCTGACCCTGCTGCAGAGAAGCACTGTGATCGAGAAGAACTTGGATGATTTCAAAATCCGCTTCCAGAAAGGCAATGGAAAGTGGCGTGCAATCTTTATATCTATCACTTCGTCGATTAGGGTCTGCTCCATTGACTAGGAACCATCTGGTTAAATGCACGTTGTGAAAGGACGACCTAATAATCTATTAACAGATATCTAGTATCAGGCAAATAATACACGCGATGGCCGGAGGATTGTTTGTGTCAATCGGTGAGTCGATGCCGAACCCATGATTAAGAAATGATTCCAAAACCCGGTACGAGGTGGTTTTGGTCGCTTCCTGGAAAAGAAAAGGGCGCCTAGGAACTCGCTGGTCAAGAAGATAATCGACAACCCTGAAGGAGTCGTCTTAAATCGCCTTGCAAAGAATGGGGATGGTTGTCGCTTCGAATGTTGCCTTGCCAATCAAGCTTGGTCGTACTTCAGAAAAAAAAAAAGAGACATATTCTTCGATACTTTCAAATGACGCAGCTTCTTGAAGAAGCGCCATCTCGTCGGGATTTTGAAGATCCATTCTGGCTGTGAAGTGAAGGGAGGATTCGTAGTACGTAGTACCCAGATATAGTAGTCCGCATGCCAAGAGCTTCAGGACACCTTGCGTAATTCGGGCCCTCTACCTAGGTACCCAGGTGTCTTTTCTTTATTCTTCTTTGGCTTTCTTGCTGAATCTCATCTCTTGAAAATTATCATGCTGCACAGCGCCCGTCTTTTGCTCGTGTCGCTCCTTGCGGCACTGCCTGTTAACGCCGATGGACTATACACAAAGAATTCGCCGGTGATCCAGTTGAATCCCAAAACCTACAACTCGCTCATTGCAAATTCGAATCATACCTCGGTGAGTGCCCATAGTTTTCTTTAAATGCGCAAAATCAACTAATGGTTGGCTACTCCATAGATCATCGAGTAAGCTGTCCCCCACTATAGCTATCTAGGTCTCTGCCTCTCCCTTCCGACCTTCACTCACATTTGTCACTTAGATTCTACGCGCCCTGGTGTGGCCATTGCAAGAACCTCAAACCCGCCTTCGAAAAGGCCGCGAAAAACCTCGACGGACTCGCCAAAGTCGCCGCGATCAACTGCGACGATGACGAAAACAAACCCTTCTGCGGACAGATGGGTGTCCAGGGCTTCCCGACCCTGAAGATCGTGACACCTTCCAAAAAGCCCGGAAAGCCTCGTGTCGAGGACTACCAAGGCCCGCGCAGCGCCAAAGGCATCGTCGACGCAGTCGTCGACCGCATCCCCAACCATGTGAAGCGCGCAACGGACAAGGACCTGGACAAATGGCTTGGACAAAACGAAGACCGGCCCAAGGCCATCTTGTTCACCGAGAAGGGCACGACCGGCGCGCTGATCCGCGCCCTGGCAGTTGATTTCCTCGGCGCAATTGACATCGCCCAAGTACGGAACAAAGAATCCGCCTCTGTGAAGAAGTTCGGCGTGAACGAGTTCCCGACTCTCGTCCTCATCCCCAGCGCCGACGCCGAACCCAAGATCTACGCCGGTGACCTGAAGAAGAAGCCCATCACCGAGTTCCTGAGCCAAGCGGCAGCACCAAACCCAGACGCGGCACCCCGCTCCGCCTCCGACTCCAAGCCCAAGCCGAGACAAAAGTCCAAGCCCGCTTCCAAGCCTACCTCCGTCGTCGACGACGCCGATGACCTCAAACCCACCGCCTCCCAGGATCAGGACGAAACAGATCCCTCCGACAAGCCGGTTCAGGTCCCCATCCCCGCACCCCCAATCCCAACCCTCTCCACCCCGGAATCCCTCGAGTCGGCCTGTCTCACACCAAAGTCCGGCACATGTGTGCTAGTCATCCTCCCGGAGACGAGCGAACCCGACGCCGCGCTTCCAGCGCTTGCCACCGAGGCACTCGCAAGCGTCGCTGAGATCGGCCACAAGCACGCTCAGCGCGGAACGCATCTCTTCCCGCTGTATGCTGTCCCTGCCATCAACACTGCGTCTAAGACTCTGCGTGAGGCATTGGAATTGGCTGATGGCCAGGCGGTGGAGATTATCGCTTTGAATGCGCGTCGCGGTTGGTGGCGTCGGTTCAGCGGTGCCGATGCGGACTTCGGGGCTGTTGCTGTTGAGTCTTGGGTTGATGGGATTCGGTTGGGTGAGGGTGCTAAGGAGAAGTTGCCTGAGGGTATTGTTAGTGTTGAAGCTGAGGCTGAACCCGAGGCTGAGGTAAAGCCTGAGGCGGAAGCTGATCTTGAACCTGAAGCTGAGACGGTCGAGGCAGAGGCAGAGGCTAAGGCTAAGGCTGAGGCCGAGGAACAGGCCGTTGAGCATGATGAGCTGTGATCATTTCACGGTGGAAGAGTCCATGCTAGTTTAGTGACCTCTACCTAGTATTCCTTTTTCTTTTTAGTTTGAGAGCGAATCGCATAAGCCTATGTACCCATCCCATCAAGCTGTTAGCGGATATCCCATCTATCTCTACGGAACGGTCAGACTGTTGTAGGCATAATAAACACATGATTCATATGTATGTACAAGAGACGGATATCCTGTGGAAACATGAACCTTGGAAGAATACAGACAAATACTAGATACAAGCAACTCTTTTTAGACCAAAGAAACCGAACACCGTACACTAATGCAAAAAGAAAACTGTCCAGAACCTAAATCATTCAGCGCTTTTTGCGGCCCTCGGTGCCTTTCTTGATGATCTTTTGCCTCTTCGAGTCAATCTCCTTGTCGTAGATGTCGCGCGCAGTCTCGATCTTCTTGCGCTTGGAAGACTTAGAGCTATCAGGTCCATCACTGTGGGCTGGGAATCAGTTATTGTTGTTTCGATAGACAGACAGCGTGATTGAAACTTACGGGTTAGATGCGCTCAGAGCACGCTGCTTGGCGAGCATTTCCTCATCGATCTGCTTGCCTCCTTCGCGGAGCTCATCTTCGAGACTGATGGGCAGGGGCTGGAGGTTGACTTCGGGCTCGTCGTCATGAGCGGCAGAGGTCTCGATACGGACCTTCTGTGCGGGCAGAGATTGCTCGATCTCGTTCTCGATGAGATTGCGGAAGTGGGTGGAGATCTTGCGGACAATCTTGAGGAACATGGCGAGGAGCTGGGAGGAGGGGAGGTTCAGCTCCTTCTCGAGGTCGTCGAGATTCTTGTGCTGCAGGCCGATGGCGAGGAGGATGGACTGCTGCACGCCGGAGAGGCTGACCTTGCCATCGAGACGGTTGCCGAAGTAGTAGTCGGAGAGAGCGGGGACCAGGTCCAGGATAACATGGTAGTCCAAGAGGTTGTTGGCGTAGCTGTCCAGACGCTTGAGATCGAAGGGCGAGAAGGCGGCATCGAGGTCGGCCTTTTGCAGCGTGCGCGGCTTGAACTTCGGGTCCTTCTTGGCTCCGGAGTTGGCAGCCTCGCAGATGCTGAGGGAGAGGACGGACGGGAACTGCCCGAATTGGTAGGACATCAGCGAGAGGAATCGTTTGTGGAAGTCGCGGGCGTAGGCGCTTAGCCAGGCGTCGTCAGCCTCGCCGGTGGAGAGCGTGCGGACCATCACGCAAGAGTGCTCTCCAGTGAGTTCGTTAGGGGTCTGACGCAGATACACCGGGACAAAAGAACCGCGCTTCCAGAACTTGTGGAGGGGTGGGGTGAGACCGTAGCTGACACCGATGTAGTCGAGGACATCAGGGCGACGTTCGGTCAGTTTGCCGAACAGCGGGGGCATGGAGCGAATGTCCCGGACGTGGACGTTGTCATCCAAGAGGCTAGAACTGGCGAGCTCTTCGTCTGTAACACGGACCATTTGCTCTTCGGCGGCAATGTTGTCCTCCTCCAAGTTGGTGAACTTGCCTTCGAAGAAGTCGACCAGAAGCTCCATAGCCCGGGAACCGTATCCCATACCCACATATTCGGGGTTGGTTGCGATACGGACAACACGAGCACCTGAGAGACTGGCGAAGTTTTCATCCTGGAACTGCTGGCTGACCAACCACGGGATGAGATCACCTCCGGCGCGCTGACCACGGCTCAAACTG